CTGGGCAGCCGGGCCCCTGCCCGCCTCCTCCCTTCCAGTTACGCCGTCCGCTCCCTCCTTTCCGGCGGCTGTGAAATCGTTCTAATCTTCCAGAACCCGCCAGCCGCCGAGTCCCCAAATTGGGGGGATCGAGCCTGGATTAGTGCGCCGGATGTCCCCCAACCTTCTGTGAGGAGTGGGGGTAGACTTTGCATTCAGGCGACCGGGCGTCCTCCCTCCCAGCACACCCAGGGATGTCTTCTCCCTGGTTCCCAAAGCCACCCGCACCCGGGGACTCTGGCCCGCCAGCCTGCAGGGCCCGTGGGTTTCTAAGACCAAGTGAGGCGGTTGATTTAGGAGCCTGGCAGCGGACTGTGCCCCCAAATCGTCCCCAAACGAAATGAGAACTTTGAGAGTGGCTAGCAGCCAGGGGAGTCGCCCGAGGGACAGCCAGGTGCCCCGGAGGCAGCGGCCGGCAGGATCTTGTCGCCCGGTCCCTCAGCTCTGCCTCAGTTGTTCTCGGGGTCAGCTCTGCTGCCCGTGACAGAGCTGTGAATGACAGCAGTCGACCGGCCCTTTCCAGCCCCCAATAAAACAGACTGGACTCAACTACTCAGAGTGTGGCGCTGACCAGATGAGCCACTGCTCACTGGTTACTGGCCTCTCTGAGAAGCCAGCAGACCTGCGGCCCTGGCTTCGGCCTGGGAGAGGGACACCCATGAGTTCCAAGGCCCCTCAGCTCCCCCAGCCTTGTGGCTTGGCTCTCTGCTCTCCTGGGGACATCCGGATCCTCCAGGTGTACCTATGCTCCTTGTAGTGTCGCAGGAGCTGGGGACACAGTATCTGAGGAGACTCTTGAAGCCACAGCCCCTCTCCCCTTCTCGGCAGACTTCCCGAACTTACAGCTATCAAAGCTCCAAATGTGAGGACCACGGAGAGCCACAGTCAGGGGTCCTGGGGCTCCAACAAACGGAGCTGGATCCAGGGGCACCCTCCGTGTCTCCTCCCCAGCCTCACCCTGTGCCCGTCTCCTTCCTCTCCCCTCCCACCTACAGTGTCCACCCCGCTCGGCCAAGGCCGGGTCAATCAGCTCGGAGGGGTCTTCATCAACGGGCGACCCCTGCCCAACCACATACGCCACAAGATAGTAGAGATGGCCCACCATGGCATCCGGCCCTGTGTCATCTCCCGCCAGTTGCGTGTCTCCCACGGCTGTGTCTCCAAGATCCTCTGTCGCTACCAGGAAACCGGGTCCATCCGGCCCGGGGCCATCGGCGGCAGCAAGCCCAGAGTGAGTGTCTTTGCCACAGAAGTTGGCAGCTGGGCTCTGCGCAGGGACCCTGGCTGTGGCCCCTCTTCTGGCCCCGTGTCATCCAGGGGGCTGAGGTGTCCCCTGCTTCCCATGGAGAGCACAGTGGAAGGGTGGCCCTGCTCCCAGACACCCTCCCATTATTTGCCTATTGCGTGAATTTCACCAGGAGGAGGATAACTGAGGGAGGTCTAGGTTGTCCAAGACTTTGAGGCCAGTGAGCCATCCCTGGGCTGTCTTGACATCTGTCCCAAGCCCCATCACCTTCCGAGACCAGGAGACATCTCCTTTCAGTCTCGCCTGAGCTAGTGAGGGGGAACCCCAAGGGGTCTTCCTTAGGTTTTATTTTATTAGCCGGTCCCTATCCTCTACACCCAGCTGCCTTCCTGGGAGCCAGAAACTGGTCTCCCGAAAGAATAAAGCCAGGTTCTTAGGGGGGACGGCGGCCAGAGCCAACAGCCTGGCCGGGGCTCTTGGGAGGTTGATATTAAAAGTATCTCCCTCCCCGCATTCTCCCACTTCCACCTCTGAAGCAGGTGGCGACTCCGGACGTGGAGAAGAAGATTGAGGAGTACAAGAGGGAAAACCCGGGCATGTTCAGCTGGGAGATCCGGGACCGGCTGCTGAAGGATGGGCACTGCGACCGCAGCACCGTGCCCTCAGGTGAGCAGGCAGCTGGGCTGGGGCTGCCAGTGGCCGGCTTGGCGGGGGCTGGCGGGAGGGGGTGGCTGACTGGGGACTTGGGGAGAGGTGGGAGGGAGAGCAAGAAGGCAAGAGCGCTGGAGCCCAGGAATCGACCCAAACGGGGAAAAAAAAGGGGAAAGGGGAAATAAAAAGTTAGCACGGGAAAAGGGAGAGGAAGGAGGGAGGAAGGGAGAAGGAAAAGGGGAGGAAGAGAGGAAGGAAGGGAGGGAAGAGGGAAGGAGGGAAGGAAGGAAGAAGGAAGGGAGGAAGAAAGAGGGGGAAGAGCGGAAGGAAGGGGCATGTGAGTCTAGCAGGTTGCTGGTGACAGACCACTCCCTTGGCACTTTCTGGGAGAAGGGCTCCAAAGACGGTCTGTCCTAGGAGGGCCAATGCCCTGGACCCCCATCTCCAAGTCATCACTCCTGTTGCTACCCCCAGCTGCCAGCAGGTCCCCAAGCTGGAGGCCCCATGCCACGCTGCCCATGAGAGGGGACGTGGCCTGGTGTGTTTGCGTGTGCATGTGTGTGTGTATACGTGCATTCGGCATGCAGGCCAAGAGCCCACCTGAGTGTGAGGGATGGTGGCAGCAGGTCCGGAGGGACTCCAGGGTGGGCCTGGGGCCCTGGGGCACCTGTGAGAGCATCTGGGGCTCGCTGGGTTGCAGGCGCAGACGTGCTGGGATGCGTGTAGGAACACACGACCTGACCGCCAAGAGCGTGCCTCAGTTGTGGCTCGGCGACCCAGCCTGGGCTAGGGCACTAGGGTGGGTGTGAATGCCAAGTGCCAGTGGTGGCAGGGGAAGGGGGGTAGGAGGAGACTGTGAACCGGGCCTTCTCCCAGGGGTCCAGGCTGCAGGGCAGTCCTGGACCCCCCAACTTATACTTGCTCTTTTGCCTTTTAATTTCTGAGGTTTAGTGAGTTCCATTAGCCGTGTGCTCAGAATCAAGTTCGGGAAGAAAGAGGAGGAGGACGAAGCGGACAAGAAGGAGGACGACGGCGAGAAGAAAGCCAAGCACAGCATCGACGGCATCCTGGGCGACAAAGGTAGGGCCTGCCAGGGCCGCGGCACCCGGCCGTGCTTTCCCACGCTGCTCGTGTGTGCCGCCAGAACGAGGCCAGGAGTCCAGGGGAGAGCTCAGGCCGCGGGGCGCGGGAGCTTCTCGGGCTTGGCGGAGGACGCCCCCTAGGTGTGCCCCCTCATCGCGGAGCCGGCTGCTCCTTTGCGTGACGGAGTAGGGGGGCGCAGGCATCCTGTGAGTCCCGGGGGACCCAGCACGGGATAGCGCCTCGCAGACGGTGCCACCCTCTCGCGCGCGCGCCTGGCCTACCCGAGTCCTCCAGTGAGCGCGTGCTCCCCGACTGGTGTTTTGGCTGCTGGTCCCCGGTGTCGATCAATTATTTATAGGAAACTTGGGCAAAGGGGCGGGAGGGGGCCCGGAAGGAGGAGCCGGCCCACGGCTCCCTAAATGAATTTGTTAACCAGACCTGCACACGCTCTCTAAACGGTCCCTTGAAACCCCGCCTGACAGTTGACTGACCGCTGCAATCAATAAAAATTAGCCAGGGCTGCCGCCTGACGCTGAGCCTCGCTCGCCAGGGCAGAGCAGGGGGCAGGAGGGTGCTTGCCTCTGTGGCGCAGGCCGGTGGGGCCCAGCGTTGAGGCCAAGTTCCCAGATGCTCGGGTCTCAGGATCCCCGTGGGGAGAGGCCGCACACCTTGTGCACGGGCTGGAGTTGGAGCCCAGCTCCAAGCTTTCACTCCGGATCGGCTCAGGGAGACGTTTGTCTTCCCAGCGCCTGCTCGTGGGGGAAAGGATTGTGCTTTTGTTTTGGGACTGGGGAAGTTTCCAGAGAAGGGAGGGCGCGGCCTTCCTCATCACCCCCTCCCCGCGAAGTTTTCTCTGAGAGTCGGTAAGCTCGTGCTTAGCGGAGACAGGGAGGGAAACAGAAATGAAGACCCCAGAGTCACAAAGACCCGTGGTGAAAAGAAGAGGCCCCCAGATGCAGACAGGGAGGCGAGGAGCTGACAGAATCGGAGAGACAGTGGCTGTGGGAACCTGCAGAGCCGTGGCCTTGGGAGCCGCAGCCCAGCGCCCTGGGACCCCGAGGCTGGGACCTGGAGGTTGTGCCAGCCTCCTTCCAGTGGCTTCTCCCAGGACCCCTCTTCTTGCTTCCCGAGGACCCCTGCCCAGGTTCTCAATAGTCTCCCCCAACCTTGAAGATGAACTTCACAGACAAAGCCCGCTTCCAAAGACGGCCGATCACAGGCCCGATGCATTGGGGGCCAGGCAGCCTCGCGTGAGAGCCGCGGATCAGGGGCAGGGGCAGGCTATTGACATCAGGGCCCCTGGGGGAGCTGCAGTCCTCCAGGGACAAAAGGGGAGGGAAGAAAAGGAGAACGCAGTGCCGGGCACCCCGCTGCGCCAGGCCTGCCGAGGGGCCTCGGGTCTGCCACGGGAGGCAGCCCTGCACTGCCCGGTAGCCCATGGCTTGGCCAGCCAGCTCGGAGCCCTGGGACATCTACCAGGGGACCCAGTCCCTATCTTAGTTCCCATTGGAAAGAGACTAGTTGGACTTTTTGGGGGGGGCGGGGGTGGCGGGGGGAGACAGAACTTGAGTAATCTTTCCTGGACAAGGCACAAGACACCTCTTCCAAGAGTTGTTACCCCGGGGAGAAGCCAAAGGAGGTTTGGTCTTACTTGGACAGACTTTAAGTGTGCGTGAGTGTCTGGCAGGAGGCACATCCGGTTCCATCTGGGAGGGAGCACAGATGGGTGAATTTCCTCTGAGAGGGAAGGAAAAGGTGGAAAGACTGTGTGGTTTGGGGATCCCTTTGCCTCAAGGGAATTCGGGGGCTTCCCGTGCCAGCCCGGGCTTAGAAAACCAGCTCACAGGCAACTTCGCTGGATCGAGGTTTTCCCTGCAGCAGGACTAGGAAGTGTCAAGTTTCCAGGGCTTTAAGGAGGAGCCCTGTCAGATGAGGGAGGCTGAGCACACAGGTGCTGACTCACACGGGAGAGGCAAAAGTGACACGGTCTCAGAAGGGGACCAGGTGTCCCGCACGTCCCTCCCGCGGCTTTCAAGGGGTGCCAGGCACGTGGGGCACCCTGGATGCCCTGCGAGTGTGTGTGTCTTTCACAGTGTGACTCTGGTTCCGAATGCGACGGGCTGTGTGTCTGTGGGGGTGGGTTCTGCATAGGTGTGCAGCGTGACTGCAGATGCGTGTGAATGGGCTGATGCAGGCGTGCTGTCTACCCATCGGCGAACATGCCGCATTCGTCTCCAACCTGACGGCCTGGGCCGTTCAGCGGGAACCCATCACCGCGCCCCCATCTCTCTCCCAGGCCCCAGATGTCAGTTCCATGGCCAAGTTAAAGGTGAAAAGACCTTCCAGCCTTCCCCCAAGCCGTCCAGGTGGGGAGAGGCAGAGATGCCCCATGGGCAGAACAGGGGGAGCTATGCACATCCACAACTTTGTTTTGGCTTCTTGCTCTTGAGAAATGCTTTCTCTGGGGGGAGTTGCCCCTCTCATGGCGGGGAGCCGCCAAAGAAGGGGTTTAAGAGCTCTCTTCTTTAAGCGCTAAAGAGAGATCCCTCCCTGAGTCCGTTTTTTCCTATCGTCCGCTTGGCATTTAATAATGTTAAGACTTATTAGAGCTAGTAATGAAAACTGGGACCGCTGAATAGGAAACTGTGTTGGAGAGGGGTGTAATAGCTTCCAGGCATGGTAAGAAACTATTTATCCGCAATCAGTCCTCACTCCCAGAGTTTGAAGCACAAACGTTAAGTTGAAGGGTTTTAAAGCAGATTAAATTGAGCTTTTATTTCTGTGCACTTTCATCTCTGAACAGCTCACTCCTGCTCCCCTTGGGCTGATATTCATGAGGCTGTTCATATTTTTTTTTTTTTTTTTTGCTCTTATCCTTGTTAAGACTGAGTTATTAGGATTGTTGGCTGCGAGAATTCTCAGACCGTTGCAGATAGGTCTCCAGCCACGCTCCGCTCACCTGGAGAGGGAAGTGGACAGTTCCCTGCCCCCGTGCACCAGGGCTCCCTCTTCCTCACTCGCTTCTCCAAGGCCAGGGGAGTGGACAGGCCAGAAACCTAACAGGAGCGGACTTGAGGAGGGACGGGAAGGGAAAAGATTTCCCCAGAACCTGAGCTCTGATAGATTCTTGTGGGGGGGGAGTCGATGAGAGTTTGCAAAGGGGGGGGGTTGGTGAGAGTTTGCAAAGGGGGGGGGGTTGATGAGAGTTTGCAAAGGGTCCAACCGGTCCTCTGTCGGAGCTGAGGGGGACTGCCCGGGAAGAAATAAGCAACCATGTGAATCTCTACAGCAGCAGTGGCAGACAATAACGCCCAAGCCGCGTGCCTCTGGCCCTGCACCAGTCTGAGCCCATCCTGACCTGATCAGACTCCAAGGGGCTCCACACCGGTCTCCGGGATGGAAAGCCCAGTGGGCTGACGATGAATACGACATGTAAAAGTTACAGGATTGGAAGATCTAGCAGCAATGGCGAGGAGGCAACGTCTTCCTCTGGGGGCTGGGTAGGTGGGCACCCAGAGGGGGTGAGAGTCCAGTGGGAGATTTTGCAGACTCCCTGGGTCTGAAAGACCCTCTAAGGTGGAGGGTGGGGAAGGGGGGGGTGCCGGAGGGCGGTTTTCGTCTCTTTGCCTCTTTGCGTTTTTCCACAGTTCAGTTTTAAGGCAGCAAACATACAGGTGTGGAGTGGGGAAGGTGGGGAGGGGGGGAGAGCCCGGAGTGTCGGTTTTAGACACTTGTGAAAGGAGGTGGGAAACAATTTAATTTGGCAGCGGCGATAGCTGCTAATGCGGTTTTCGGTCGTTTGCTACACTGGAGGAAGCTGTTTTGATTGTGTGTACAAGGACCTGCCAAATTTAATTAGGCTCCGGGGGAGCGAATGAATAGGGGAAGGGGGGCATGACTCCCCTCAGCCCACACCGAGTTTTTCGGCTTCACACCTGGAAGGGGCATTGTTCACCGGCAGGGCGAGAAGCGGGCAGGGGCGGGGTGCAGGGGGGACAGGAGCCTCGGGAGAGGGGGCGAGGGAGGAGACCCGGCCGTCCCTTTATCGAGGAGCAATCTGCATCGGTTTAAACCAACAAGTTCCCTCCTCTGTGAATGTGTGTTTAGAGAAAGGTAATTGACACTCCACCAAATCAAAGGATTACCCCGGGTTGGCAATCTAATCAAACAGAGTCCAGGCGGGATTTGAGGCTGTTCAGAGCGGGATCAGCTTCGCATAATGGGGGCTCGGAGGAAGATGGGAGGGCGTCAGGCAATTCCCGGCTTTAGGCAGCGCTCGGCGGTG